GCATGCATGCATACATACACACATAAGCATCTGTAGTCATTTCTAACATGCCTAACTTTGAAACTATATCTCAAATCTCTCAAACTGTGCATGTATCGATAAATCTATCTGCCAAATATATATATATATATATACACACACACACATAATTATAATGTAGTACATACTGCTTTCTGTGCACCTGCCCATGGCCGAAGCCACGACGGAGCCAATGCCAGGCAAAGCCCAGCACGAAAGCCACGAAAGGGCATGGCTCAGGTGTCTTTAGGATGCCGGGGCTCTAGGGCAACTTTAAGGTTTGGCGGTTGTTTTGCCTCCTACTTGGTTTAGGGTTTAGGGTTTAGGGTTTAAGGCTAACTTTAAGGTTTTAGAGTAGAAGCCCAAAAGTTGGAAACCCAATAGCCTCAATCCTCAAGAGTCATGCATATGGAATCCCAGCACTATTTGTCCTTAATCCGGTTTCCAACTTTTTTGGGGTTTACTAAGTTTACTATATAGTGTGTAAGGGTGTTTGTTTAAACGATGCTAAGGGTATAGGGTCTAGGGCTGCGGGATAGTGCAAACAGTGTGGGAAGTCTGGTGGGATCGTTGTTCCTTTGGAAATGCTCGGCCAGCCTTTTCAACCATTTTCTTGAAGCCTAAACCCGTTGTCATCGGGCTTGCCTCGTCGCCGCGGGGCTCCTCTGCTCTGAACATACATAACCCTGAAGCCTTGATTGCTGAACCCGTTGTGACCCTCTGGGAGGGTCTTGATAGCTCAGCACCTCCCTTTTCTATACCTTCACGGTGAAGCATGCAAATGGAGCCGCAAGACCTTGCTTCATTGTCAAGCATTAATTGGACAATCATACAGTCCTACTTGGGGCACTGGCACCCAGATGGCTAGGCGGCTGTGGGCATTAGTTGGCCATGGTCAACACATCGGCGCGAGTGAGACATCCTGGCGCTGTCACTGGTGATGGAAGCTGATTCAAAAGCCCTGGCTCCATACCTGTAATACAGGGGCCCAAATAGATGCCAATATTATTCTGGGGGGTCCCTATTATACTTATAGTATAATGGACCCCAAAACCCTATTCTAGTTTTAAGGCCCCTATATATTAAATCCGTATAGAACCCTTATAATATCCCCTTCTTAAGGCCCTATAGTAATCCGCATACTGGGTTCCTCACACTATTGGCTTCAACCCTCACCAGCATACGGCTCGAAACCAGAAACCCTGAATCCCTTGGCTTCACCAAGTCGGGGGTTTAGGGTTTCGGGTATCTGAACATTGAGTCCTGCACGTCTGGGACAATTGGGCTCGTCATGCCTTCGGAACCCTAAATCCGTTTCTTGCTGGGGGAGCAGCAGCGCTAGTAGTCGTGCTGCTGGTGATGATAACAGCAGCAACTCCCAAGGCCCTCTATGTCTTCTTTCTCCACCACCCTCTGGTACGAACTCCCCCCTCCCAACAAAAAAAACACAGCAAACAAGGCACCCTCTCTTTGAACTTGTGGTTCAGGGCCGAGGACTGGGGTTTCCAAGTTCGGGCTGGTTTTGGCGCTGCTTCCCCGCATCCCGAAGCTAAGTATTTCAGCTGTCGTGGGTGAGGCGGTGGGGGGGGGGGGTCATTCTTCTAAGTGCTGCGTCTTTCGGACATGAAAGCTGAAACCATGTTTAAACCCTCGGTTGCCTGCCCAAGGCGTAGGGAGTTAAGGCTCTTAAACCCCAAGCCTTGCACCCCTTGGCACCCGCAAAAACCCAAAAGGCACGGGCCAAAGGCGAAGGCTGCAGTGAATGCTGCCGAGACACTTTCGAAACCGAGCAGTTTGGCAGCCTGCAGTGGGTTTCGGGTTGAGGGATAAAGGCAACAATAGAAGTCATCATACGGTTGCTAGTATGAATGAAAGTTCGTATGATTATATTACCTAACAGGAACAACTCGTAATAAATCAAGCATTCAGAAATAGCCATCGACTTTTATTATGCGTTCATGATAGTCGTAGCAACAGGCAGTATCATTAGCAAAACCAACAATACGTGTAACGATACTTGCAACAACAAGTGCATACAATCAATAAAACGAAATAAATCTTAAACGGAAACCCCAAAACCGCAAACCGTAATAAACCTAAAAAATAATATAGAGCTCAGGCATCAACCGAAATCTTCTGCGGTTCTTCAACTTTAGAGCTGCAAAGAAATCGAAGAGTACTGACAGTACTGGCCAGTATTCATGACACTCCTGCGGCTACTACTGCTGTTTATACTTATGGCTGTGACTGTTGGTACGACGACGACGGCTCCTGCTACTGCTACCGCTACTACTGCTACTACGACGACGACTACCACTACCATTCCCACTCCCACTCCCACCGCCTCTGCCACTGCAACGGCCACCGACACTACCACTACCACTGCCACGGCCAACACCACCGCCACGACGACGACGACGACGACTACTACTACTACTACTCCTACTGCTATTACTGCAACCATGGGCCTGCTCTTCGACTACAACGATGTATGAGAGGATCGGGAGTCATGCTCCATGCCGTGCAAGGGCCGGAATTCGGAAGCCGTGGGGTCTGCAAGGTTTAGCCTCTGGCCTCAGTGTTTTTGTTGGAATTTGCAGGGTTTACGGCTGTTGATAAAGTCACAGAGTTGATAGGTGCCAAGAAGGAAATACTAACTTACTAATCTAGAACAAACCGTGGAAATTGAATTGAGGAGAAGGCGCTCTGTGTTGGAATGGCGAAGTGTTCCCTAAGACCAAGAGAAGTTCAACCATACATTCATGCCTGCTCATCCACAAATAGGAGAGCAATACGCAGTGTAGCTGAGCTTAAGTTTGGAAGTGGGCAGATTGGTGGACAATGTTGGGCCATTTCGGCAAAGCCAACAGAAATCCAATCTCGTCGCCAAGCATCATAGCTCTGAGATTGCGCAAATTTGCGCAACTCTTCCTGCCTCAGACGGCAGCGGCACTGCCAAGAGTGTTTTAGACGGCAGCTCTTGTGTCTAAGTAGGGCGGTTAAGCTTAGGGTTTAGGGTGGCGCATCAAAGGGCTACCCCTCAGCTTGTGAAATTCAGCCTGCCGCGACTAAGACTAGACCTTGCTTCCAAGCAGCCTCTTGCCCTCATCGTTGGAATACTTCTGGTTTATCTCCTTGGTCAGACACCAAACACTCTAACTTCCGAGGAGCTGCAAGCACTCGCAGGGCTAGATGGAGCAGCCGTCAGGAGTCTGGCGCTAGCTGCACAAGGCCTCCAAAACCCCCCAACTCCAGCTAAACCCTAAACCCTAAACCCAACTCCAGCTCATCGATTCTGACGATGCTCTTCTTGCTGTCTCGTTCGTTGCGCACTCGAGACCTGAGCCCTTGCAAACCCCACAACCTCCCAAGATCCCCACCAGAAAACGGCAGCGGCACTGGGTGCTTTCTTCGCAAAAACCGGCGGGTCCCGGAACGCTTTGACCAGATGAGCCACAAAGCTTGGACACAGGCAGAAGCCCTTCGGGCTCCCTTCGTCCCAGAGGTCCACGGGCACCGTAGAAGGTGAAGCACGTATTGAAATGTAACGAATTTTAGGGTCTAGTTTAAGGTCTATAGGACTGAGAACGTACTGAAATTAGGGTTTAGGGATGTTTCGGATTAAGAACGGCAATTCAATTTGAAGGGTCTAGGGCTCAGATCGGCAACGAAGTGAATGCAACTTGGGAAAGGAAGATGATGCTGAATATTACGAATGCAAATTTGCAAGGAGCCAGAGTACGGCAGATTGGGGCTCCCGGCTAGATTTCAATTAGCAGTCGGCTCGATTTCGGGGGAACCATGTCATGCCAAAGAGCTCCTAGTGACAATGAGTGACGACGTTGAACTCCACCTATAGTCTCCATCGTAGTTCCCTTTTCGGTTTCACCAAATGTATATTAAGGATTTTACAAGACATCCCCAAAAAGGAACTACAATGGAGGCTATAGGCAGTTCTTGGTTCAACTGTCTCTGCTAGCGGTTGATTTTGTTGCTGTTGCTGCTGCTGCTGTTGTTGTTGTTGTTGTTGTTGAGGGCTCTTTTCCTCCTGCTTAGTCGGCATACCACCAGGGCCGAGGTTCAGGCTGCAAGAATTTAACGTCCAGGCTCGTGCGGTTAGAGCTTCGATGTCTGAGATGTTGGATTTTGTGGTGGGACTGAGAAGGCTTTCGGCGAAGATGCGTCAAGACGGCGGTTACTTACTAAGACGAGCAGCCAGACAGGGGGCGGAGGGGATCTTCGTTCTGCATTTAGTTAGTTGTAAACGTAACTCAAGCATGCCCGTGGGCCTGCTAGGGGACGGTCGTTTATTATATCCGCCGCTTTTTGACGGACAGGTGGAACTGGTCATGCTCTCTTTGCTTCTGCAGGAGAGCGATGGAGAAAACTCCAAACCGAAACCACTGAGGTATGCCGCAACACATGCTCATGTAGCCCACATGCCTTTGTGCGTATAGCCGGCTGGCTTCAACTCCAAGACTATAAGTTTCAGGCCCACTCTTGTCAGACACACCCCGTTGGCGTGGGAACAGCTGATAAGTCGCTGCAGCGCTGTTCGCTGCACCCACACTGCCCCCGACACCTGTATCTTCTCCGATCCATTCAGCTTTACCGTAGACAAACATGTTAAAAAGGGTTTCTACCCCCTGAAACCTGAATAAGATGAATGCAATTGGAAGTGCCTCGCTGCTCTGGTTAGTCAACCATCACTATATGGATGCTCATTGCAACTGGCTCAGTTTTCGCCCGACTGTGCCCAGTCAACGAAGCTTGTCGAGCAAAGTGCGTAGGAGTACTTACCAGAAGAACCCGCACCCTAAATCTTTGCAAAATCTGCCGTGGTTGTCATCAGCCTGCGCTGCTTATGGTTGCCGCCTCACGGCGTGAGCACTGCAACTACCTATCCTATTCTCTGTGAATGCATACACACAGAAGTACATACGTACATACATACATACAAACATACATACATCCAAACTCCAGACATACCTAAATACACACATACATACAGACATACGCAACATACGTTGCATGCATTATGCATACACGACATACACAACATACATAGCATACACACCTACATACATACATACATACATACATACATACATACATACATACATTAATACATAATACGTACATACATAAATAAGTACATACATACGTACATACATACATACATGCCTGCATACATATACCTGTGTATATATGTACGGATGGATGTATGGATGTCTGTATATATATATATATGTATGCATGCATGCATGTATGGACGTATGTATGTCTGTATATATATATATACACATACAAATACATGTCTACATATACATATATATATATATATATGTATATTTGTGTGTTTACATACACGCAACAGGTGTTTAAGCTTTCCGAAGAAAGGTTTCTCCATGACAGCTTCGAGGCTACACGTGATTCATGGGGGAGGGGGGCGGGTTAGCATATATATATATATATATGTCTGTGTATATATATATATGTGTATATGTATGTGTATCTGGATTTGTATGTGTATGTGTGTATGTGAATGTGTATGTGTATGTCATGTGTACGTGCATGTGTATATGCATACAGAACCGGTGTACGTATTATGTATATACATATATATATATATATATATATAAAATCATCTGTGTATATATACACACATGGATATATACATATGAGGGTTGTTCTAAACCCCCGGCTCTAGACTAGCAGCGCACTTTAATATTTGGATTCAGGTTTAGGACATGCTCTAAACGCGGCACGGCGCAAGAGCGCGCAAGGGTGAGCGCAAGGCGATACGTAGTGTAAGAAGGTACACTGAGCTACTGTACTGCTGCTGCTGCTACGACTTGGGCCCACGCCAGACCCCTGGCAGGAATCGTCTCTAAATGCCTCGGAGTCTGGCATGGGCCCAGAAGTTGAATCTTTGTGTAAGCAGCGATACTGGAAGATTACTACTGCTGCTGCTACTACTACTCCTACTACTACTGCTACTACAGGGTGGGAATGTGGGTAAAACCGTGTGCGCACAAGAGCGCGCAAGGGCGAAGCGCAAGACGNNAAAGAACAACCCCCATATATATATATATATATACACACACGCACACACACACACACACACACACAAACACACACACACACACACACACACATCCCCGTCCAGAACCCCGTTTCCGATGTAGGACGAGATTTAGAGGTACATACCCCACACTAAGGCGCAGCAGGCATTAAACGATCCCTCCTGATTGAGATTTCCGGTCTTCACTTTATGGAAGAGGGTTGCAGGATTCACGGGTTTCGGCCCTCCGAAACGGTATAAGTTAGTTCTTCGAGGGGCGTCTCTCTGCTCTACATCTTCACATGTAACGTGAGGGGCCCCTCTGCTTCTTCATCCCCTGAAAAGTGCAGGGTGGCAGATGGAGACTTGGTGCTACGTCGTAGCCTCTTATGTAAGGGCCTTCATAATCAGAGTAGGGTTCGGGGGTCCTTTATAGTATAACTATAATAAGGAACCCCCAAAATAATACAGGTAAGTATTTAGGCTTCTACATTATCTCTCATCTTGCTCAGTATTCAAGCCCTGCATCTGCTTGCTTGGTGTTAGGTCAGATGTGCCCTGGGCGGTGAATAGAGGGCCTTAACACTTGCAATAGGGTTTTGGAGTATATTATACTGTACTTATCATAAAGAACCCCCAAAACCCTATTCTAACTATTGAGGCCCCTACGTTACACAACCTAAATTAAGTCCTCAACCTGAAACCTAGTCTCCAGAATCCTAAACCCTAACACTCAAGCTCCAGCCACCAAAAACTTCTGAGCCCTAAATCCTCTACGGGAGCATTGGAGAAAGGCCCCCGAACCAGAACCTTAATCCCCTCAAGCCCCAAACCCGAAACCCAAAGACCCTAATCCGGGTCCCCTTATGCCCTAAGCCCTAAGACCCTTAAGCACTAAACCCTCAAGCCCTTAAGCCCCAAACCCGAAACTAAGATTCGGAGCGCGCCTTGGTCACGTCACCGCAGGACCGCAGAGAATGAAGATGACAGTAGTCGGAAGCAGTCACACGCACTCACTCACGCAGGTTCCTCTCTCGACGCTTCGAGTGCGCTCTCACTTGCCCAATGCCAGCAGTCCTTTTCTGCAAGCCTCTTTTCTGACCACGACTGCTTGAGCCAAAGTGGATCCGTGTGGGAATCGTTTCAGGCTGTACACGAACGTTCGAGCATCACGGAGCCGTTCAGAACCGCTCTCGCGCGGGGACATGTGTCGAGCATCAGCTGCAAAAGAGTCGAGGTTACTCAAGGCTGGATTTCCAGATATCGTTGTGCGAAGCACACGGCATGTCTGCAGGCCATGCCGAGCTGAAAACTGAGCGTGCGGAAGGTTTACCTGCCCCGGCGAACGAAACGAATTACCGGAGTTAGATTAACTGCAGCTAAGCAGAAGCGAAGCGCAGCTGTGCTGAGGCCACGACGAGGAACTATCCACAGAGCTTGCAAAGTCTTAAGGCACACTTCAATCTTCACAGAAGCCCGAAACCCCAAACCCCATAAGCCCCAAAGCCGAAGCCCTTAGCCTTAAACCCTGAAAACCCGAAAAAACGCCCTGCAGTTGTTGAAGATGAACTCCACCATGGAATCCCAGCGGCTCAACAAGCTCCTGGCCCGGAGGTTTAGGGTTTGGGGTTTGGGGTTTAGGGTTTCGGTTTGGGGTTTGGGGTTAAGGGTTAAGGGTTTAGGGTTTGGGGTTCGGGGTTTGGTTGGGGTTTAGGGTTTGGGGTTTAGGGTTTACGTTTTAGGGTCTAGAGTGGGGTTTATGCAGTCTGGTAGCCCCTAGAAAAATCGAACGTGGCTTTGAAAGGGACTGATACAAGTGCCTTTGGTGTCTTATAGTCATGTTTCATGGTAGTTATACGACATTCATTACTGTATGTTTCATAGGAGCGATTTAAGGGTTCAAGGTTCCGGGCCCGTGGATCGAGGTTCACGGCTTTGAGGTTGATGGTTCAGGGTACAGGGTTTGGTGACTTCGGTTCGCGGTTTATGGTTCAGGGTTTAGGGTTTGGGGTTGAATGAAGCTTTTTTGGGGTGTGGATGTGGAGTTGCAGCGCAGATTTTGCCTTACAT